AAAATTTTGAGACCAGTTGCACGAAGATCGGCCCACAAATGCGGGAGGAGTTCGCGGTCAGACAGACAGACAGACACCCGGTGCTTATATATACATATAGATATGTACCTATATATATTTACCGAACAATCCTTTAAATAATATGGGATTAATTGTTGGTCTATTCGTCCTTTTTCCCGTTGCAGAATAATTAGCAATACTCGAATCTAAAATAAGCAACGACACCCGCACCCGCTACGATGGCCGGCTCAGCATCATCGTCCATGTTCCGACAAAAGCCTAAAACGATCTGCCTGAAATGCAAGCATCATCCTAGAAACCTGCTGAACAAGTTTTCGCAGTTGCTGGAGAGGAAAGCTTTTAGCGATATGACACTTGCTTGCGACGGAAGAACTTTGCGGGCGCACAAGGTAAACAGAGCAGACAGAGATCATCGCGATAATAACGCGACGTCAATGAGGCGCTTTCTCATATCCCGCGTGCATATCTTGCAGGAAAAAGACGGCCGTCGCATGAATACGTGAATTATTAACTTTTCAACTTGATTAAATTTGAATAACGTAACTACCGCGGACTCGGTTTGACCTCGCTAAATAAATGGCGTAATATCGCGAATTGAAAAGCGATTGCATTTTTCATTAACCGCACGCCGAGCATTACGAATGCGCATGATGATTCCGTTCGAGGGAAAGGAAAAGAAAAGGCGTGACGATAGTGCAGCATCTTCCACGCCGGCGATTCCGCGTGAGCCTTATCTTCGTTTAGGCTTAGACTTCCCCGGCAACTTGGTCGCAATTAACACCCGCCTGTTATCGATATGTCCGACACGTAACGCCTCGTGCGGCTGTTCATAGCGCATGTAGAATTTTAAGTTGCGACTTCTGCGCTACGCGCTTTATTTTACACGGCTCCCTTCGCGCTCTTCGCAGATAAAATCGTCGCATAAATGATTAACAATCGCGCCCGGCTCGCGTGTTCGCAGGTTATACTGGCGGCGTTTAGCACGTATTTTGACACGATTCTCTCGCAATATCAGGAGAAGGACCCTATCGTCATCATGCGTGACGTTAAATTCTTGGACCTCGAACTACTGGTTGACCTCATGTACGGCGGGCTTACGTCGCCGCTCCCGCGTCTCGCGTCCCCATCCCTCGCCTGGCAATATCGATCGCCGTGCGGTCACATCTCGCCACGCGCTCGAATTGGACAGTGGGCAGGGCAAAGACGACGATTTTCGATAATTAATTACTCGTTAACTATTGCGAAAATTGCAAATGGTTCAGGACTTTTCTGTTCATCTCGATCCGTTCTACCTTCTCGCGAGCTCTGGCACAAATGTTGTAACTCACCCTGTATATTAACTGCAGATTGGGCTTTTTTAACCCACAATTACTGCGTAGATCAAAAACTTGCAAGTCAAACTAATTTAAAACAGTTTACAATGAAACTGTTAAAGGTATGAGCAACACATAAATAAGTTTCTGCACAATAAAGATTTCACAATAATGATTTTTCGTAAATAATTATAATTCTAGAGTTTGTGTTCGGCAGTCTTGCTTACTAGCTGTGCAGTTATAACGTTTCTCATGCGAAAAAAGATTTTTCCAAATTTCGCAAGGAGGAAAAATTGAAGGAAGAAAAGAGCGATTCGCAGAACTCCAATTCAGAACAAGATTGTCCCGAAATACCTGGATTGCCTAATCCAAACTGGGTTAAAGTCGGTCACGTCAAAAAGCTAAACATATGCCCAGTGGATACGGGTGAATCCTTATCCTGGCATACATTAAAATTTACACAAGGCGGAATATTTATGGAATACGATGGAATGATTTTTTGGGATAAGTAAGTATAGAATCGAAAATTTTTTATTCTTATTATATTGTAGAAGGTATAAATTATGATTTAATATACCTTTTGCTGATAAGTATTGATCAGTACAAAGTATTGACTACATAATCTCTTTGATATTTAATTAATTTAAGCTACCTGTTAACTACTTTCACTGTTTATAATTTTCGTAAACCAATTAAACATATATGTTAAGTATAAATATAAGTATAAAAGCAGAAATATATTTAGTAATTTTAATAACAAATTTATATACAATATTGAAGCATAATCATACGAAATCTGCTAAAAGATGAAAAATTTGTATCTTATACAACCCGTTGAAAAAATCATGTTAAATTTTTATTACATGTAACTAGAATGTTCCGAGTATACGACAAAAAGGCAAAACGATTCTTAATCGGACAAGAGCTGGAATCCATATTGATATTGAGAGCGATTGACCTACATGAGACTGGTGGCAAATTCGTCTTTCTTCCTAATACACCAATTTTAAACGTTGATATTGTAACGAAGCGCAACTCTTCCCCGGTACTGAATTTCGGACAGGACTCCGGCGGGTATCACTTATTACGCGAATAAATGCGGAACTTAGTCGGACGCGCGGTTCCGACTAACGGTTGGAAGAGTTGGCTTTCTTTCGGTCGGTTTTGACGTGCTGTGTGTCGGTTTAATTAAATCCCCCGTTCCTCCTATGTGCCGAATATGCTCAGCTCCAGGGCCGTCTGGAGGAAAGGAGGACAAGATCTTACTTCGCTTAGTGAGGTAATCGCTTGGAAGGATCGGGAATAAATCGTACAAGTATTTAATTTGGTAGAAAACGATAGGAGCGTGGTTTATTCATGGATAGGATACATGAGATCGATACATGATATAGATAAAAAACCAGTAAAACTCGTAAAATGTTGGCAAAACTGGAACCAAATTGGATTTTAATAAAATCTATTGATTGCGGCGACGAAGCTGCTGAGTGGCTAAACACGTGTGTATCTAATAAGTTTTCATGTCTAATTCTCTCTTATATTATCCATAAACGAAATATTCAGTAAAATATTATATTCCGCAGGTGTCTCCGGAAGTCTAGTTTGCGTTTAATACGAGCAGAATATGAAATTACCGACAAATCAATACTAAATCGAAATGATGTGTTAATATTAAATGAAGAAGATGTTGAAAATTGGGTAATTAACATACTTTTACACAATTTTTCTTTCTTTTCAATGTCTATATAAAATCCGATTGTTAAATTTAAGTACCGATTGATTATCTTTGCAATTAGACACTTAATTATCTATGCAATATTTATTATATACTAAAATATAATGTAACTATAATTACACAGTAAAAATATACGTAATGCTGCTTCTGAAAGAATCTATCCAGCATTTATGTAGACGTTCATATTATGCTACAATGTATCAATATTTTTCTCCATTATTAGGATTTTACGGCTTTAACGCATTGCGTAGTGGTAACGCAAGAATCATTAGAAATGTTCTATTACTCAGATCCTTTAGCAGTAAAACTTCGACCACATATTTTAATTTCGAGTCCTGGATACCCTGCTTTTGCGGAGCAAACTTGGGAATGGATAAAGATCGGCAATGTAATCACGAGGAATTTGATGCCTGTCTTGAGGTGTGTATATATCGTTTGTTATGTTGCTCAGAGAATTAAATACCTTTTGGATGTTTTTTTCGTGCAAATCCAATATTCTGAAAAATAACTTAATATACTCCGAAAAAATTTCAAATCTTTAAGTATAACAGCTATAAAATTGATTAATCATGTAGTATTCGTATTGTTCTAAAATTCTCGTAACTTCTAAGCTCAAACAATTCTTTGTATCTTTAATACATGTTTACTACATTTATTTAATACTCTAAGAACATTGAAATGCATTTTAAAATGCAACTATAGAACCTGTTTAATTATATTTTCTATTCATTCGCATTATTACTGCTTTCTTGGATTTTTAAAAATGGATTTTATTTCTTTAATTCAATATAGCCATCCAAGACACCAGCGAAAGGAACATTACAGATCCGGACTGCCTTCGTTTATGGGAGTTTTTTATGGATTATACACTACGGGGTACTTGAACGTAAATGACGACGTATTTATTCATATGACAAAGCCTGAAAATACTGGACTGCGAAAATGTTTCACCAAATAATATAAGTAATGCTAAGAAAACTCGCAATTTAAATGTTTTCTTAATAGTCTCACAAAATTTAGATTCTGAAAATGTACCGAGCGTTGTTCTTTTATTCTTTTAAATGTAGAGTATTAAAAAAGGATAGAATTCTGTTTTTTACCTGTAGGGGATTCTTTTCGGATGGCCAAATAAATTGTCAAGATGTTCGTTCAGCGAAATATATTTAATTACTTGTCAGAACAGTCGGTCGAGAATTCTGTCTCGGTTACAAGCTTAGACGCGCGGGAAGACGACTGTCCCTTTTCTCCCTGATCCTGCTCTCTATATTCTTCCTCTTGATTCTCCTCCTCCTCGATGAGGAGCCAATCCTAATCACTTACAACTGGGGGATAGTGGTGGACATACCGACTACTCTCCACAACCCGCTCCGACCTTTAGCGTTTTCGAAAATATAACGATCGTTCAGTCTAAATACATTCGGTCAAAAGCCGAAAGACGAATACAACCGGTCGTCTAAACATTATCGCGGGCAAACACTGCTCCAGGTCGGCTTAGAATTAATAACACACTACAACGAATATCTTCTAACGGAATTATATAAAACGCCTACATACCATTGTACTTTGTTCTTGCAAGAACCACTAAATTTACTGATCTTATTACATCAAATTATTAAAAGTTACGCAAGTATAACGTATATACTAGATTTTTCTATTTTAATATTTGATATTTGATACTTATAATTTAACTTTTATATCGACTTTTCGACTGAAAAATTAATAGTAAGTCATCTTATACATTTTCTTTTTCTGTAAAGCAAATAAAGAACATTTCAATAAAAAGAAATTGTTCTATAACAGTATAGTATAATGAACAATGTTCTATTATAGTATAGTATAGTATAATAACCATTATTATAGTATAATATAGTATAATAACTATTATTCTTCCTCAGTATACATTGTTCTATCACATTATAGTATAATGACCACTTAAAAAAAACTTTATTTCCCAAATTACTATTTCTTCTGTGTATTATATATGCGTTTAATAAATACGTGTATTAAATAAATAAATATATTTCTTATACCGAGTTCTATTTATTTGATGCAATACCTATACCTATA